AAGCCCAACCATAAAACTTATTAAAAACAAAAAAATAAGGTTAAGTCTTTTTTTACGGAGAGTACAAAGTAGTGTCAGGGGCTATGGAGAAAGAATTGTGCTATGAAATCTTAACTTGAGGTAAGAAGGAGTGAAGATGTCACATCCGTGGACATGTGTGAGGGGTACGGGTAATGAGACAACCACTAAACCTCCTAGGTTTTCTGTTTGAATTTTTGTGAGTGTCTATGTATGTGTAGATACCCAATTTCGTCCGGGGGCATACAAACAATAAGATAGGACATCAGAGGGCCCAAAATCAACTGTTTCTGATAGCTCAAAACGGGTTGTTCCAATACCAGAACGGGCTGTTCCCAAAACGGAACGGGCCGTTCTAAAACAGGTTGTTATGAGCAAGATTTGAACCCAGAACGGGCCGTTCCAGATTCTTATTTCACCTATAACAAACTTGCCCAGAACGGGCCGTTTTAAAACTGGAACGGGTCGTTCCCCTAGTTTGGAACGGGCCATTCCAGAACAACTTTGTGTAAGTAAAATTCGAACTCAGAACGGGCCGTTCCACTTTTGGAACGGGTCGTTCCAGTTTCTTATTTTACCCACAACGGACTAGTCCAGAACAGGCCATTCTGAAACTGGAACGGGCCGTTCTGGCCCCCTTCTAGTTCCTATAAATTGAAGCCTCGGGCACAGTTCTCCTGGTGGCTAGAGAAATTTCGAATAAGACTCCTTTGAAAACGAAAATTCTCTATATCTCTCCTCTCTATTGTATTTCTTGAGATTTGTGTCGCATCTCTATCTTCTCTCCCTCCTATTGTATTTCTTGAGATTTGTGAGGCATATTGTAGTGTGAAAGGTCGCCACAAAGCACTTTCTCCATATTTGAAGATTCAATAGAGCTCGTTCAAGAGGTATTTCAATTAATCTTCTTCTATATCTCATTTTTCTCTATCTTTTATTTATAATAAACGCAATCATGTAGATATTTTAGGGTTAGTCGTATAATTTAAATTTTAAATATGTAAATAAATATTAATAAAGGAGATTCAATATTTAATTTATTAATTCTTATCATGCTAACTTCATCATAAGGTACCGATTGAGGGCGCTGTAGGGGTGCTTAATACCTTCTCTACACGTAATCGACCCCCGAACCCAATTTTGGTTATCAAGGCCATTGTTGGATCTTTAAAAAACTTTTCTTTTTCCAATGTTTTGAGTAAAATATTGGTGACGACTCCATGAACCTATTTTCAAAACCATTAATTAAGAATTAGTCTGGTGTCCGGGCATTTCTTAATTAATGAGACTTTTAAAAGGATGTCTAAACCATATGTCGCGAGATCGGAAATTTTTGAGTTGCGACAGTATGGATTTAATGTTTAAAGTGTTATGTTAATCTTAGTAAATTTTTCATTCAATTGAGATATTTTGATGATGAATTGTCTCGTGTTTTGAGGGTTAGATATTTTTCACACATATTTTTTAGGTTTAGATATTTTGCACACATATTTTTATACTAATTCACTCCAATTGTGCTACATCCAATCCCCACAGAAACTTATGAGATTTTCATTATCATATCCAACTATTATTTAATCAAACTCAGCCATCTATTGATACAATAACATCACTACACAACCACCTAATATTAGTGATATATACTTAGTGACCTATTGAGATTTTACATTCAGCAACCTGTTGAGAAAATCAACCTTATAACCACCTACTATGAGATCACACAACCACTTGTGTGACCTTTCTTCCTTCCTACACCTCTACAAACTCAAATTTGGTATGAATGGTTTTTACATAAATGGGTTTTGTGACCTAACACTTTGCTAAGAATACAAGAAGTTCTCCTAAGTTGGAGCTTTCACTAAGAATGATTCATACTTCTTTTATCTATTACAAGATTAATACAAAATACTGAAGTGGAGATCTCTAAATGAATCAAAGTATGAAGTAAGGATTGTAGCTTGATAGCTTGTGCCTTTATTACTCATTTTCATCTTGCTTGCTACAGCCTTAGTCTTCCTTTTATAGCCACTAAAATAGATTCATTGTGACTAGCTTAGTTTAAAAGTAACATTGACATCATTGTACTTTTCCTTTTCTAGTACTATTAGCTTTTTCTTCAGATGAGGTACCTTCTAAGTAGATATTCTCTTCAAACCTTCTAAGCAGAGTCTTTAGTACAAGTTTTTTAAGAAGTTGTGTTTTAACTGAAGCCTTCTAATAGATAGCTCAAAGTGTTGGTTATTGGAGCCAAGTCTTCAAGTCATTTCTCTTGAGAGGAAATGATTAACTTGAACCTCTTTGAACAGAGACACAATATGCTCATCTTCTTACCTAGGATAAACAAAACTCTTGGTGTTAAATGGTAGTTCACACAGATTGATTGATATCTTGTGAAGCTTCAGAAATGTTAAGCCTAAACAACTTTCTAAAACACTTGAACAAACATGTAAGTGCACACATGAGAACTCCTCTGTACTAAAATTTAAAACTAAGAGTTTTTCATTAAAAAACTTATGTTTAGTGATTCAACTAAGTGCATTTAAGACCTTTTTATTGTTGTGTAACAATCAAATCTTACTTTTTGCCAAGATTGAGGGAAGTGTCAGTTAGATCGAGAAGTTCTCGACATGCTAAAATGTTTTGCTAAAAAGCTCTATTTTGGCCTATCCAAGTGATATCCATACATGCGGTGCATTTAAGCTTGCCCTATAATGTAGGGCTAATAACTAACATGTGTTTTACATGAGCATCTGAGACCTATTCAATACAGTTTCTTTATAACCATTTAGTATTTTCTTAGGTTGTTAAAGACTTAGACATATGTGCTTCATTGTTATAGTTTAATTGATGACCATTGTTTTATACAATTTGATATCTCTTTACTCTTTATTCTCTTAATCATAACCTTTAATGTTTTATTATAATCTCAATCAATTTGTAAATCATTGTTTGTTAGTCACTCCGAACTTCTTTGTCCCAAGTTGTCATTATTGTTTTTTTTCCCATTATAATAAATTAAGAGTTCAAAGTTTAAAAGTAAACAACTAGGTACTATTGTTTCATCTCATTATCATTCACCAATTAAATGCTTTAAATTTGATTCATAAATTATAATTTATATTTTTATCTATATTTGTTTAATTATTTGAGTTTGAACATATTACTTAGAAAATAACATTCTTGTCATTTAAAACCAAAAAGAAAAAAAACCAAAAAAGAAAAAACCAAATTAAAATTGATATTAAATCTTAAATTAGTGCATTCTTGATATTTTCTTAAACATCCTATCGATTTCTTCAAAATGATGCACATTTAGATAATGTAATAAACTCTAGGACACCTTATTTTTTTTGTTTGCCTAGAGTACCCAAAAAAATTCAAGACCTACCCTACTTCGAAAATCTCATCAAATTCATCATACATTAAATAATATATACATATATTATAATTTTTAATATTTTAAGAAATTTTTTTAATTATTTTAAAATAATTTTTAATAAATAAACACATAAATGATAAAAGGTTACATTACATGATGCTATATTGATTTTTATTCTTATTTATTTTATAATTTTTAAATTCTAAAATATCTATCCGTTTCCGTATCATACAAATTTGCTATTTTTTATTTGTCCATGTACTTGCTTACAAAAATAGGCACGAGACTTGTTTGTTGCCATCCCATATGAAACCGGCTCATTGATTAATTCGGCCACCGACACAGTTACAAATGACTGTGGATATGAGTTGGAAATTAAAATGCGAGTTATTATTTTTAGTATTAGCTAAAAACCATTCACTCATGTAGATAATTATATTTTGGAGTTCGATTATTAATTATATGCATGTACAGAAAATTTTTGTTAACAAGAATAAAGTTTATTTTAATAATCTTTAAAAAAAAAGTTTCCGACAATCAATGGATATACCTTTAATATATATATATATATAATTATTTTTATTTTTATATTATTGAAAACTTTATTTTTTTTAAGTCTTTAAAATTAAAAATATTTCATTTTAATTTTTATAATTTCGAGTTTTAATTTTTTTTAAATAAATTTTTATTTTTTAATCTTACACCAATTAACATAAATAAAAAGTAAAATAATATGTATAAGAACTTAAAAAAATGTTTATGATTATAAAAATTAAAAAATGTTTTTCATGAAATTAGAGTAAAAAAAGGAAAATCAAAATATATATAACCATATTCTCAATGGCTTAAAATTTGGAGTGAAAAAATAGTGTGGAAATGTTTTAATAGTTGTAGTCGTTAGTCCGTAAAGCCTTTAAATTTGAAGTGCACCCCACACTCCCCAACAAAGAAAGAACGAAAGGCGCCAAAAGCAACAATTACATATAAAATGAAGGGCCATGCAAAAAAGTTGAATTGTGATAAGATAAAGCCAAGGCTTACCGGTCTCTCTCAAAGTGAAAGCTTACGTTACAGTACTCTCACCCAAATTATCAGAAAATTACAATTCTTGTTGTTTTCTAATTATATTTGAACTTTATTTTTTAAATCAAATTATTCTCTTACTAAAAATTAAAGACTAATTCAAACTAACCCCAAGCGTGTGGTTCAGCGGTAGGGGTTGATGCACGCTTAAGCAAGGTTAGGGGTTCGAATCCTGCGCGTTAAATCTTAGGGCCAGCTATCCCACCCTTTGAGGTGCCTCCAACGTAGCGAGGAGATTAGTCACTGCTGTCGGCGCTGGATACTCCAGGAATGAACCTAAAAAAAAGACTAATTCAAACTGAGATTCTTTTAAGATCAAACAAAGATCGAACTGCTAATCACATGTTTAAGGTATAAGATTATCTATTAACTATGTACATATATTTAAGGTACAAGATTTTCTATAAACTGTATTACATCTTGTTAGCATTTGGACTTTTGTTTTGGTTAACATATGACAACCTTTATTATGCAGATAAGATTTTAAACAAAAACGACAGGAAATGTACTTAAAGAACCGTGTCTAAGTTTTTGTTGAATTGCAAAATGTGTGTGCTGTTTCAACCAAATCTCACATGATGACATGTTAGTCATAGTGGAGAATAAAGGGTCATATACCTCCTCCGCAGAGAATCTTTCTTTTTCTTTTCTTTGTGAAGATATGGTTTCCCTTTAGGACTTCCACAACAAAAGAGAAGAAAAATGGGTGAAAAATTTGTACATCATTTGTTAATGGTGAACTGTTGGTTTGTGAAATAGTGCAGAGTGTGAGTTTTGGTACTTCCATTTTGCTTTCTCAACCCGTGCCACCAGTTTGTCTTAATGTGTGCAGAGTAAAGGTGACGCCGGGAAAACGGTTTCTCGTGGCACGGCAATATTTGGAGATTTTCTATTGATGATTTTCTGAATGTGTGGTAGAGAAAAATTTGGTTTTATTCAATTGGGTTGACTGTGCAAGTTCTTACGGTAATTAACACTTGTTTCCTTTTTAATTTATTTTGTTTTGTGTTTGTTTGACTTATTTGTTCTCCAGATTTTGAATTTAGCTGAAAAAATGAGATGTAATGAAAAGTTTTTCGGATTTTACCACAGATTGAGGACTCATTGGGAGTTTTTGGTGATTTTGGAAGAAGATGATGAAGTCTGCAAGTTCAATAAAAGGGGACTGAGTGGACAGGGGGCAGGGAAGTTAAGTTACAGAAATGGTAGTCGTGGACTGGTACCGCAGTACTGCCTACTTTTGGTAATCCTAATCAGATTTGCTTGATTTGGATCAAAATATAGGAACGTACATTTTATTCTAAACATTTCTACCATCATAAGACTTGTTAATTTGTTTTATTTACTTTTTTGGGGGTATACTTTTTCTTATGTTGAGTTATATCATAGCTATACATTTTTTCTGAAGTGGTTCTGCCTTGAAGAACTTCCAAGCCTTGAAGGCTTCAACATTGATGAAGTTTGGCTCTGAATTAACTCAATATTAATATCATTCACACTAAGGATCATAATGCACCATTTTTTTCATTCAACGTATTCTTGCCACTTTCTTATGCATGGCTTCTTGGAATTACAGAGAATCTACTTCTGGATGTGAAGGATATCCAAGCTTCATTTCAGACAAGATTGTAATATAGAGCACTTTATTTTTGGTCCCGGTATTCCCAACTACACTGAACTAGAGACTAATCTTACTTGCGGTATTGTGATTGCCGCTGAGCCCACAAGCTTTTGCATACGGCGGAGGAGATTGAATACGGATTCTCTACTAAATAGATCGTCCTACAACGTGTAAGTGTTGGGTCTCTAACCACTGTAGCAACCCATCGGGTATACAAGAGCACTTTATAGAATATAACAAAGCCTCCAAGTTTCTGCATAACTTGCCAATGAGAAATAGGATCCATCCTTCAGTGCTTCTGGTTTCGGTAACAGTTTTCTTCTCTATCTCATATTCAGAACAACTGCAATCCTCTCACTCTCAGACCCTTCTAAGGATTCAACATCTATTGAACTTTCCAGCTGTTTTAAGCAGCTGGAACAACAACACAGACTTTTGCAGCACAGATTCAACATCTTCTCTTACTGTAGTGTGCTATGAGGGAACCATAACCCAGCTACACATAGTTGGTGAAGCAAGAGCTCTACTTCTCCCTAGGAATTTCTCAATAGATTCCTTTGTCACAACATTGGTCAGGCTTCCCAGTTTGAAAGTCCTCACTTTGGTTTCTCTTGGCATATGGGGCCCTTTACCTGGGAAGATTGCGCGTTTGTCATCACTGGAAATAGTCAATGTAAGTTCAAATTTTCTATATGGTTCCATCCCTCAAGATTTCTCATTACTGTCACACCTCCAAACACTTATTCTAGATGACAACATGTTTTCTGGACACCTTCCTGAATGGCTGGACTCCTTTCCAGCCTTAGCTGTGCTAAGTTTGAAAAACAATTTATTCAATGGCTCGCTTCCGGATTCGCTTAGTAGTCTGGAGACTATGAGAATTCTTTCACTTTCACATAACAATTTTTATGGATCAGTGCCTGATCTGCGCCGTTTGACGAATCTCCAAGTGCTGGAAATGGATAATAATGCTTTTGGACCTCAGTTTCCCTTGCTTGGTGACAAATTGGTTACTCTAGTACTAAGAAACAACAAGTTCAGGTCTAGTATCCCTGGTGAAGTGAGCTCATATTATCAACTTGAGAGACTTGACATCTCAGCAAACACATTTGTTGGGCCATTCCAACTAGAACTTTTATCACTTCCTTCTATTGCATATCTGAACATTTCTGGGAACAAATTAACAGGAATGCTTTTTGAGAATCTGTCTTGTAGCCCTGGACTTGAAGCAGTGGATTTATCCTCAAATCTTTTGACTGGGACTTTACCAAAATGCTTAATGTCAAATACCAATGACAGGACTGTGTTATATGATAGAAATTGTCTAGAAGAAACAAATCAAAATCAGCATGCACCGCCCTTTTGCCACACTGAAGCCATAGCTGTGGGAATAGTGCCTGAGGGAAAGAAGCACAAACGAGTATCTAAGGCTGTTCTCTCCATTGGGATAGTATGTGTAACTTTTGGAGGGATAGCAATTGTTGCACTGATTTTCTTTATTATTAGAAGGGTAAATTTCAAAACCAAAATCAAGAGTCCTCCAACAAAATTAATATCAGAGAATGCAGCTTCCGGATACACCTCAAAGTTACTCTCTGATGCAAGTAACTCCCTCACTCTGAAATGCATACACGTGTGTGCGTGTGCGCTTGTTGTGCATTCTCTCTAACTACCTTGTACAATTTATGCATTTCTCGACTTGCAAAGTATTTTGAAAATTTTCACACATGCAAGTCTTTGTTAATTGGTGCCATGAATTATTAAACTCCGCGCTCTAGGCTACAGAGCCTATTACTATGGAGAATAGGATTTTTGTGTAGCCAAAACTACTGAATTTATATTATCACTATAGAAAAGAACAATATTTGAGTTACATTAGTAAATGCCTAAAACTATGTTACATTTGGTAATTTAGTTTAGAGTATAGATGCTTTAGTTTTGCCCAATTCTTGCCTTACTGGAAATATAAAATTGCATCCTGTCTTTATCCTTGTGCAGCATCGCTGAGCCTTTGATCCACAAAAAATTGGTATTGTGAATTATTTAACAAATATTGGAGGATTAGGAGGATAAGAGTTAAGAAGAAAGCCTTAGGAATATTCTTTATTCACTTATTCTACAAAAGGAAAAAGTTAAAACTCTTGATTATGAATAGAAAATGTTAACTCCTAGTAAGCTAAATGTTCCAGGCCTTCATAAACAACAGATGTTTAATTGCGTGCCAAATTATCAGAATGTCAATTAATATCAATGAAACGCCACGACTGGTGGCAATAGTTTCTTGAGAATATGATATACAAGAATTTATTTTTTCATAAATTTATTTCCATCTTTCCATATTAAAGATAGATGACAACCATTTATTTTCCCTATACTAAAGGGTATATATCTCAAAACATGAAGTTCGGAACAGTTGGCCTGCCACCTTATCGAGCTTTCTCTCTTGATGAGATTGTAGCAGCTACAAGCAACTTTGACACAGCTTCTTTCATGGGGGAAGGTTCTCAGGGAAAGGTATGTCACTTGTTTCAAGTTAATGTCTATATTGATTATAGAGGATTATTCCCTTTGAAGCACAAGCTTTATTAAATGAGCTCCTGTACTCGTGGTTTTGATGAATTAAGCCGGTGTGAAAGAAGGGCTTCTTCAGTCCACAAAGTTTTTTAATTTTGTTGTTTGAATTATTTTTTTTATATGAAAATATAAGTTGTGGATAACGTTCTTATGAAATGAAATTCAAAAAAATTAAGAGGGCGTTCGGAAGAACTTCCACAGAGCTTTTTCGAGCTTCTGTTATCAATATCATATAAGCACTTAAATTTAAAATTGAAGATGTGTGGTTAAGCTTTTGATAAGGACTTATGGCCCTTCTATAAATTTTTTCTTGCTCATCAAAATAAGCTTAGTGAACTAAGCTCTTATGATTCAAATCTCATGGAAAAAAGTGCCTTAAATCCAGAACAGTTGGAAAGGTACAAGGGAGGTGTTATGCCATATTGAAGAATTAATCTGTCTGTAAGCTTAAAATGCTATGACATATTACTTTTTCTATCACAAATATGCTGTGGTTAATACATATGTCATAATATGCCTACCAGACTGCGTAAGGGAGATAATTTGTCCATCTAGCCATGGTTCAACTTCATTACCACTTTTATCTCTCTCAACACATTTTTGATTTATGCTTCATCTTAAAATTATTTCTTATGTGCTTCAGTTGCACAGAGGTCAACTAAAGGATGGTGTACTTGTTGCCATTAGAAGTGTAAAAATGACTAAAAGCTACAGCACTCAAGATTTTATGCATAACATAGAGCTGATATCGAAATACAGGCATCGTCATTTAGTTAGCGTTCTTGGACACTGCTTTGAATGCTATTTGGATGATTCAAGTGTCAGCAGCATATTTATTGTCTTTGAGTATGTACCAAATGGCACGCTCAAGAGCTGGATCTCAGGTGAGTCTCAAAAACTATTTTCTCATACAGGAGAGCGTGAAAATGGTATTATTCCAACAAGAAATAGAAAGAATAATGGATATGGAAGTTTCTCTAATCCAATGGGTTGATGTAGTGGATAAATATCCTATGCTCACATGTTGTGAGAACCAACTATTTACCAGGTAACTCTTGTTCAATTCTGCCGTGTGCAAAAACTCTTCAGATCAGCCATAGTCATAATATCACGAGTGAGATTAGTCTGTGACTCTCTGGCCAGTAGGTTATGGGTTACTCACGGCAGGATAAAAAAAATATGAAATAAGGAAATTTTTCTTTATGAATTCTATTTGTAAAATATTTATATATCACTTTGATGAAGTTCTAAATTTGTATCTTATGATCAATAGCAATAAGCTTTCTTCGTGTTAAACCAGTTATTTCAATCACAATGGAGGAATGAGACAATAATGACATTTCTGATAACCTCCACCTTAACATGTTATGTGGCAGATGGGCACTACAGAAAATCCCTGACATGGACGCAACGCATAGAAGCTGCAATTGGAGTAGCAAAGGGCATCCAATTTCTGCATACAGGGATTGTCCCTGGTGTATATTCAAACAATCTTAAAATAACAGATGTTTTACTTGACCAAAATTTTACTGCAAAAATCAGCAGTTATGGCCTGCCTTTGTTATCTAATATGGGAAAGGTATGGAGAAAATAATTATGAATGATTGATTATGTGTTGTTTTATGAGAAAAAAAGAAAACATGTTTCACTAGTATGTTTGGTCTTGTTTCTCTTGATAAAATGACTTCAGTTAGTATTCAACCTTGTTTTTCCTTTCAGGTTGGGCAAGGTAATCATTCCAGCGGATTCAAAAGTTCTAGCATTAACAAAAGGTGCGTGATGGAAATTTAACTTGGTTTTGACCAACATGCACTAAGCTTCTGTTAATGAAAAAGAGGACTCATCATCCTGCCGTTTTATTTTACATATGATGTCAATTGGAAAAATTTGTATTCGTGTTCTTTTATTTAAAACATGCTTTGGTTTTGCAGTGTAAAAAATGAAGACAAGTCTGATGTGTATGACTTTGGAGTAATACTACTGGAACTCATTCTAGGAAGGACAATAAAGTCAAGGAATGTGAAAACTTTAAAGGATCTGGTAATGAAGGAGATTCTGATTTATTAAATATTTTCCAATTTTATTTTACTTTTAACACTTTAATTAATTATTCAAAATTAGAGAACGTTGATATGATCCAGACATCCAGGTAAGGATGAATCCGGTGGTTAAGTCACAGTGTGAGTCTGTTATCATTGAAGAAAAATAGTGGTGAAGTTGTTTCACATATTATTATAAATCCCAGAATTCCATTTTCTGTTTTACTATATTTTTATTTAAAGCACCTTTGGCAGTTGAATCCTGCTATACAAATCTCTCTGAGATAAGTATGCATACTATTGGTACGAGTCTATTAATTGAAAGTAAAAAAGCAGGGAGAAAAATTTATGATATAAATTAGCTATGAATAAATAACGCTTTTAGAATAAGCAGAGTTCAGACTTATATTCACATGCCCAAAGGGTATCAAAGTAAATGATTAATTTGCAAATAGTAGTAGTTTCCATTAACAACAAACTTTAATATCGCTGAACAAATCTATGTATGCATGTAGTTGGTATGAATTTATTATATTTGAATACATTATATTACATAAGAGATTAATTAAATATAAAAAAAACAATCTTTACACACAAGAAGCAGGAAATTTGAGATATAGGTATATTTTTTTAAAATCATTTCTAGGAAAGAGAAAATAAAATAATTTTTTGTATGGGATCAAAATTGACTTATGTATAAACTATAAAAGATGGATAAGACTTAGGTACAGTTCCTTAAATATAATTAGTGTTGTTTTTCAATTAGAGTTGGAGTTTTATTTCGGTATTATGCCTCTCATTAATATTAATTTACACATAATATCGAGATAACACTTCAACTCTTATTAAAGAATAACACCAATTATACATAAGAAACTTTACCTAAGTTATATCTTAAAAACAAGATTTTGAAGATGTTAATTATAAATAACTTCTATAAATTAGCTTAAATATAAACTAATTTTAACTCATAAATAAGTTTTTTTTTTTTTAACATTTTTCTCTCTTCGATTTGTCTTTAGAGAAGTTTATTCGAATATGTTTATAGATTAACTATGGATGGATAAGGCTTTTGGAATAACTAGAGTTGACTCAAGTTCACATGCTCAGAGTGTCAAAAGTGAATGATTACTTTGCAATTAGTAGTTTTCATATTAACTAGCAATTTTATGACTTTGACTCCATTGATTGGACCACGAGGCAGTTGCAAGCAAGCATAACAGCTGATGGTGAAGCTAGGAGGAGCATTATAGATCCAGCAGTTCGCAAGGCGTGCTTGGATCAATCACTGAAGACAATGATGGAGATTTGTGTGAGGTGCCTAGTGAAAGAGCCAGCAGAGAGGCCCTCTATAGAGGATGTTTTGTGGAATTTGCAGTTTGCTGCTCAAGTCCAAGATGCATGGAGAGGGGACTCTCTAAGTAGTAGCGATGGATCTCCCATCTCACCTTTAGCATCACGACGAATGGCCTTCCATCATTGACGATAAAAAGATTTTTCACTTTTTGGTTTTGATATGTATGCATGAAAGGATTTTTTTTAGTTGTTTACAGAATTTGAGCTTGTAGTTTACAGCAAAAGAATATAGCATAAGTTTTCGTTGTAGCCTTTATTTTACTTGAAATGAGTTTCCAATGAAAAAAAAATCTGTTAGTAGTGACTTGGTGCTTACAGCATGTAAAGTCTCGAGTTAATGTTTGAAATCATATGTTTTTCTGTGTTTTTTGTTTCCCCAGATGTGCAAGTGTCACAGGATAAGGGTCAAATTAGCCAGTAGAAAAAGAAAAGAAAAATCAACAATATTTCAATTTATTTTATGTATCTAATAGGTATCTATTATTGATACTTTCGGATATTTCATCGCGGTAAAGTATTTAAGTTTTTAAAATTATTATGAAAATCTTATATAATATTGATATTCTTAGATACTTTACCAATACTTATAAGTGAAGTATCCATTTTCTTAAAAAAAAATTATGAAGTATCTATTATGGCTAAATACAACATATAAATGTTAGGTTTCATCTTAAAATCAATTGACATCAACTAAAGTGACCTAACAGATGTATAAATTGCACTCGTCAGAGAATTAAGACAGGCAATGTGAGATTTCCCAACACCCTCTAGATATGTTTGTCAAACCAAGTGATGCCTATCAAAATAGACAAATAAAAAAGGTGAGCTTTAGGGTTTGATACCATCTTAGATTTCATCTTAAAATTAATTGGTATTAAGTGAAGTTGTTCAACCAATATATAAATCGCAACTAGAGAATTGAGGTAGGTGATGTGGAACTTCCCAACAATAAACATGTTTAATATAAAAACATAGAAATATTATTTCTTCATGAACTAAAAATGGAATTGACTTCATTATGGATGATTTTAACTTTTAAGAAAAAAATGATATTGATAGTATTATTTATATTTTTAAATAATAGGAAGTAATTTAGGATGAAATGATTTATAATTTATTTATTTTTAGTATTGAACAAGAAATATGTGTTTAATTTGGATTTGTAAATGTAATTATATATATATATATATATATATATATTAATTATATTTCTAAATTTTGATCAAAATTCCAATTAGTACATTATTATATATTATCATATTTTATGAATAGTAATACATATGAAAACACTAATCTTACATATCATATCTTATATATTTTTTAAAAAATCATTTTACCATGTCAAATACATATTATATTTGTGCATGATTAGTCTCATTACCATTAAGGGTCCATATGATTTTTTTTTATTCATGGACATGATTCATTCACACAGTGTCTTAAAGCTGAAAATTAAGGATAATTTACACTTGCAAGACGTGATTTTTATTGGTCAAATATTATTTTAACACAAGCAAGAATTAAACCTAGGGCAGGTTCCATATGATTGGTATACAACCAAAAGGATTTGGTTAATTTATCCAAATTAACCTTAATATGAAATTATGAAGTTTATTTTTATTACTAAAAGACAAAGGCCTCTAAATACAAAGGTGTATGGAAGAAGGTACAAGAACAAGAAGAGAATAGAGGATCATAGCCTTCGATTAGGTTATGACTTATTAACTATGTGACATCACATGTCGCTTATGTATTAATTAAATATACATACATGACTCAAAAATCTAACTCATTTTACTATAATATAGTCTTTATAAAGTGATTGTCCAAGAAAGCAGCCTAACACTTGCATGTTTTCTAAATGAACAAAGTTTCGTGCTTTAATATTCATAGGTAGCGTTTGGAATACATGTCAGAATGGGAGGAGACGGGACATATGAGTTATATTCCCTATTTGATGAAATTAAAAAGGAGAAAAAAATGGAACACATGATTAAAATAGTGGAACATTTTTGTTCCCTAAAAAAAGGTGAAACCAACTACAACGAGATAGGACATTTTATTAAACATTTTTTAATGATAAAATTATCACTCCGTATCTTTATAACACCAAACTAAAAAAACAAAACCTTTGTTGCTATTCTTTTTCGCTTGACACTGTTCGCTACTCTTTTTCTCTCTCCTTGCACTGTTTGTTGCTCCCACTGCATACAAGAACAAAACAAGTTTTTTTTCTTCTCTTTTGCAGTGCTATTTACATCATTGGAATTTTTGTGCTTTGCTATTTATATCATATAAATTACTGATCATTTGAATTACTATCGTTTGTTAATAAAGAGAATGTTGGACCCATTCAAATCAAATCAATGTTATTATATATATATATATATATATATATATATATATATATCAACAAGTAATTTACTATTTTTTAGAAGTTAATTATATTTTATCAAATATTTCATATTTACATATTTAGAAAATAATTATAAAATCAGTAAAAAAAAATATTTATAAAATATTAATATTTTATAATAATATTATATAATAATAATCATAAAATAGCAAATTTGAAAAAATATTCTATTATATTCTGTTTAACTTTTTATACTCAACCAAATATTAAATAGGATAGGGATATATATGTAATTAAAGATGGTGTTCTGTTCTGTTCAACAAGCACCAAACGTAGAATAGAACACATAGGTCTGTTTCGTTTTGTTGTTACCAAGCACAGTATAAATACATTACTATTCTGTTCCATTCCGTTATATCTGATTCTATTCTGTCCCGTCCCACTATCAAACGCTACCATAGTTTATATTCAAATATATGAATGATACAACAATCTAAATATCTCGCATTAAATGTTATTTTTCTTTACTAATGTAGAAGTACATTCTCGGGGGAACAATACAAAGAGAGAGAAAAAAAACCATGTTAAATAAAGCTACCTAACAAGTTTGAACAAGTACAACCTTCTTTTGTTAAAGACCTAACAATGCTACTCCTCTCTTTTTGAAGTCAGAAATGTAAACGAGACATGCCTAACACAAGACATTTATATATTGAAATCAAAATAATAAGAACACATATCTCTCTACTCTCAATGGTTATCTCCAAGTGTCTCTATATATATAAGTCAAGGTTGTTGGATTAAGTGCTTACTACCAAGCCAAAAGTTATAGTTGTTAGTTAGGGTGAAACATTTTTTATTTAATCATAGCAACCCAAACGCCATGTGTTAACTGTGACTTGACCCACATAGGCCTCCATCATGAGACAATTGATGTCACCCTGGCAAACAATCTCCCCCTCAACAATTGCTTCCGCTGGGAGAGCACACGACCTTGGCTTTGATACTGATTATTAAATTGAACACTTACCACTAGTGAAGTTTAGTGAAAAACACATAGAAGAGGGTGTTGAATATGTGTGTGTGTCAACAAGGATATTTAAAAACTTTTCACAAGAAGACTCTCTTTTGTCCAGTAAAATGGTGTTGGTTAATGTTAAACAGAAACTACCTAGGATTGGTTTAACAAAATCATTTTCCATCTGGAAATTTCATCGTCTTCTTAGAGAAAATACTTCTTAAGTGATAACCGTTCTTTTGAATAATCAATTAAACAAGTGTAGTTTTCGTCTGAATATAGTTTTAATAGACGATAAGCATTGGACGAAGTTTTCAATATTTAAGATTAATCAAATAGAGTGTGTCTAAAGCATTTAAAACGTAGAGCAAATTTTTATACTGTTTCGCTTAGTTTGAGCTACGTCCAGTCTCCTTCAATTGAAGGGTTCCACTAGATAAACAATTAAGTACAAGTATTGTTTGTTCAGCCTCTTCAGGCTCACAGTGAGTATTATAGACCACCTAAGTCATGTCCACTTCTGGTCCCAAGTATTCTCAACCACTTCTAGCTCATCTACTTCACTCACAGACGCTAGTATTCTAAAATCACTTCTGGTTGTCCGAGTATTCTCAACCACTCCTGGTTCGTTAACCTCTATTGTTGACGCTAGTATTCTTTGTTCAGCCACTTCTGGCTCTCAATGAGTATTATCGACCAGCTCCTGCCCCGTTAACTTCAATCGTCAACGCAAGTATTCTTTACTCAACCACTTCTGGCTCGTAGTGAGTATTCTTGAGCAACTCCTCAGCCGTTGACTTCACTCATCAACGCTAGTATTCTTTACTCAACCACTTCTGGCTTGTAGTGAGTATTCTCGACCAACTCCTAGCCTGTTGACTTTGCTCATCAACGCTAGTATTCTTTTCCTAGCCTCTTCAGGCTTTACAAATATCAACTAGGCAAATTTGGTTTGAGTGTATCGATTACTCTCATAGAGATGATACATAGGTTTATACACTCACTAAGGTATTCAACCTTAGTCTTTGCAACTACTGAGTGTTTGGTTTACTCTCATAGAGAGGATACATAAGTTGGTACACTCACTAAGGTTTTGTTCCTAAGATGCACATGTTTGGAACTCCTTAGTTTACAGAGATAAATATATTATGATACATTTGAATTTATACGCTCTATCTCTCATTTCGTTGTTTCGTTGGCTTGATATCACTTTTTTAAGAATGCAAGGCCAAAGGCCAGCCAAAAAGCCAACCTACAAAGGGTGGAGACAGTGATACATATATTGTCTTGTAGAATCTGCCCATTGTAAGTGTTCGTTGAAGCAAATATAATCGTTCATGACTAGTTCAATCTTCTCGTTTAATGCTTGAGTTATTGCATTAAATGTTGCTTCTTGTTATAGACCTTGCATGAAGTATTCTTTGCCTTGGTAGCATTATTCTCTAAATTTAGCAGAGACCTAGGAACCTTTTTGTCCTTTTCTGGTCACATAGCTGTAGGACGTTGTCCTTTTCTGAAAAAGTTATGCACTTTTCCTGACACATGCATGCTTTTACTTTTGCGTGCATTTCTTCTTCTTATTTTAATCACGCTATTACGTTGAGAGGACTTACGTGGTTGTAGACGATGCCTGCTTAGTCCTTTGAGACTTGATTCTTTAAGTGTTGGCATGGCAGTCTTCGTCTGCGTCTATTAGTTCCATGCGTCTCAACCTTGTTCTTTATCTGAGTATTTGACGTTGATGTTTTAACTTTTTTCTGATCTTTGACCAACTTTTGTCTGAGTCTTTATGTTGCACTTTAGGATGTGCTTGACACACTTTTGTCTTGTTCTTAATTTAGCCTTGTTAGATACTTGTGTTGGCCTTTAGTCTAACTTGTCTATATGGAGCTTTCGTTTTTCATCTTGTATCGTCTGATGCATATGCTTGATCAATTTCCTTCTGGGAGTT